CGTGGTAGTGCGTCCCTATAGTCCCAGCTACTTGGGAGGCTGAGACAGGAGAATCACTTGAGCCCAGGAGTTCAAGGTTTTGGTAAGCTATGATGATGCCACTGCACTCTAGCCAGGACAGCAGAGCAAGACTCTGTCTTAAAACAAAACAAAACAAAAAATGCAAAATAAAACAACAAAAAAATTAAGTGTACTCAAATGTTTAAAAATAATTAATATTTTGACATAACTATATTCATTTACCAAGCACTTTCAAGATTAGAAGAAGATGTAATAAGATTCTTGGGTTCCATTTCAAGACCTCTCCCATTTAAAAATTGAAATTATTTAAAAGCTGATGGGACAGCCTTAGCAAAGATAATTTTACATGGTTATGAAGCATATCATTGCAGAGACACAGCTGAAACCAAAAAACAGAGTAGTCAATAATACCTCCAGAGAGGTTGTAAGAGATTCAGTATCTGAAGTTCTCTTGCATTTCCAAAGAGTAAGGAAAGCCAAGCTCTATTGCTTTCCTCCAAATGATTGCAGATGTCCCAGTAGGTCTTACTCCAGAAAGCCAATCTCTGATTTACAACCTCCCTTAATAGGAGAATGTCCTCGATGCTAGTTGTCTGATTGTGTAATCTCATCATAATTCCCTGAAATATTAATCTGAATCCTGACATCAGACTTCCTGCTTCCATTTTGAGTCAGATTTTATCTCTCCAAGTGGCCCTTTGGATGCATTTGGGTGTCAATCTCTTGGGTAGTGAATGACTGGTTATGTTGACATGCCTGGATTTCTTTTGGAGGAAAAAGTAAAGTTACACCAATTTCTCTTCTTTTCAAACAAGAAGGGAGTGAAGATGGGAAGAGCAAAGGAGTGATATATATATAAAAAGAAAAGGAAAGAAAAATGTCTGTGTTAAGAGAGAGATGAAAAAAAACTGATAGTTGTTCCCTATGGATTGGCAATGAGGAACATGTTAAGGTGAACCATACAATGAAGAGCTGCTTCCTATACTAGGTAGTCCTGAATGTGTTAGCAAAAGACTTTATACTTTAAACATCTTGACCTTTTTGTTGAAGAATATGTTATGAATGAATAGACATGAGCATGAGCAGTGAAGCTTTTTTTATTTTTCAGTTGAATAACTCCCTAAATATAATATCCTCTGATCTATAATCTCCTTGCTTTCTTTGGATCTCAGGCAATTTTATGGTGATTCTCTATATATCCTATTTTGAAATGAAGATGCAATGTTGTACAAAATATTCTTTCTGTATTAGAAATTAACTGTTAATGTGCTTGATGCCAAAATAATTTATATTTCTACATAAATCTCTTGAAAATATGATTCCTTTCTAAAATTATATTTGCACACTTAAGTCAACCATATAATTTCAGCAAAGAATGTAGGTTATATTTTTGAGAAATTACCGAATTGCCATTTTCAAATAAATTTATTTAGGCTGTTCTGTTCTTTTAATTTACTCTTTCCAGCTGTTAAAAAGTTATTTCTAGTATACTTCTAGTTCTGAGGCTGAGCAATCAAAAATGTATTTTTGTTAATTTTTTTAAAAAGCTTTGCTAAGACAATGATTTGTATATTGAAATTATTGATACATTAATTTTTTTGTGGACACATTGTGTCACCCAGGCTGGCATATAGTGGTATGATCATAGCATTGCAACCTCAAACTTAATAGGTTGATTTAATGTGATGAGGAAATTAAGGAATGTATGTTATTTAATATATTTTCTTTTACATGAATTGTTGAGTAATATCAATTTTTCAATTGGTATAAAAACTGAAAATTAGGTTTTGTTGTCTTCTGTTTGCAAATCACTTTCCTTTGCATTTCTTTTCTCTTTTTCTTTTCTTTCTTTTTTTTTTAATTACATCAGTTCCTATTACGTGGAAATGTAATGACTGCTATCAGCTACATTTTGGTAATATGGTTTTTAATCTTACCTTTAAACCATATAGCTTTCCTGGAAAGTTTTTTTAACTGCATTTTTATTAAGGTATAATTTACATCTAGTAAATTTCACCTATTTTATTGCACAGTTTTGCCTGTTTTGGCAAATATATAAAGTTGTGTAAACACTACCACAATCAAGATGTAAAACAGTTCCATCATGTGAAAAAATCCCCCCATACTCATTTGTAGTCAATCCCTCCTCAAGCTGTGGGCCTCTGACAACCACTGATACCACACAAAGATACCAACGACATACAATGGGGAAAAGACAATTACTTTAATAAACGGTGTTGGGAAGAGTAGATACCCACATGCAGAAGAATGAAGTTAGACTCTTATCTCACACCATATACAAAGATCAATTCAAAATGGATTGAAGACTTAAATGTAAGATCTGAAACGATGTAACTACTAGAAGAAAATATAGGAGAAAAGCTTTATGACATTGGTCTAAGTAATAATTTTTTGAATATGACCTCAAAAGCACAGCCAACAAAAGCAAAAATAGACAATTGGAGTTACATCAAACAAAAATCTTCTACACAGTCAAGGAAACAATCAACAGAGTGAAGCGACAACCTACAGAACAGAAGAAAATATTTCCAAACTATATATCTGACCAGGGGTTAATATCCAAAATATATGAGGAACTCAACAGCAAGAAAACAAATAACCCAATTAAAAAAATGGACAAAGGGCCTGAATGGCCATTTCTCAAAAGACAATATACAAATGGCCAACAGGTATAAGAAAAAGTGTTCAACACCATTAATCATCAGAAAAATGTTGTTGGTATCTTTGTCGAATATCAATTGACATAAATTTATGGACTTATTTCTATATTCTGTTCCATTGCTCTTTGTATCTGTTTTTATGCCAGTACCAGGCTATTTTGATTACTGTAGCAGATTTCAAAATCAGACAGTGTAATGCCTCCAGCTTTATTCTTTGTGCTCAAGATTGCTTTGGCTGTTTGGGGTCTTTTGTCATTCTACAGGAATTTTAGGATTGTTTTCTCTATTTCTGAGAAAACTTTCATTGGAATTTTGATAGGGATTACATTGAACCTGCAGATCGCTTTGGGTAGTATGGACATTTTAACAATATTACTTCTTTCAATCCACGAACACAGGGTATCCTTCCAGTTATTTGTGTCTTCTGCAATTTCTTTTGTTGATGTTTTATAGTTTTCAGTGTACAGATCTTTCACTTACTTATTTAAATTTATTCCTAAGTATTTTTTTTTGATATTGTAAATGGGATTGTTTTCTTGTTTTTTTTTTTTGATAGTTCATTTTTAATATATAGGAACTCATTTGATGTTTGCATGTTGATTTTGTATCTTGCAACTCTACTGAATTCATTTATTAGTTCTAGCAGTTTTTTGGTAAAGTCTTTAAGGTTCTCTATATGCATATCATTCCTGTAAACAGGGAAATTCAATGTTTCCCTTTTGATTTGGATGCCTTTTATTTCTTTCTCTTGCCTAATTGTTCTGGCTAGGGCTTCTAGTACTATGTTAAATAGAAATGGTGAGAATGAGAATCCATGTCTGGTCCCTGATCAACTACCTAACATGTCATATAAGGACTTAGCAGTATTTTCCCAATTTCTTCCTTCCATCCTTCATGCTATTGCTGTCATACATTTTACTTTTACACATGCTACAAACACAATGCACTGTTGATATTTTTTCTTTGTTATCTCTTAGGGAAATTAAAAATGAGGAACATGAACTTAATATTTACCTTTATTCCATATCTTTGTGTATATGTCATATCTTACCAAGTTTTTAAAAACTGTGGCAAAATTTTTCTTCACTATTAGCATTTACAATACACCAGTCTCTGACTTCTCTTGGTATTGTTAAAAATGTGTTGTGCTTAGATAGCTGGGAATGTGATTTTTGTAATTCTGTGTGCTCACTTAGAATTTTAGAAGTACAGGACTGAATATATCACAAGAGGTCCTTTGGCCTAATCTTTAAAATCTGACAGGTTTACGTCAAACTGATCTGACTTTAAAAGTTCTGCTTCTAGAAGTTCTCTTCTGAAGTTGAAACTTAAACCTGTTTGTTCTATAAGCCTCTATTTATCTCTCTTTGTCTTACTCTCTTGTGTCATGTGTGGAGTAGAAGCATTTGGACCACACTTTCTTGCCTTTTTTTTTTTGGAGACAGAGTCTCGCTCTGTTAGCCTTGCTAGAGTGCCATGGTGTCAGCCTAGCTGAGAGCAACTTTGGTTTCAAAGTCTTAGGCTCAGGGGTTCCTCCTGCCTCAGCCTCCCAAGTAGCTGGACCACAGGTGTGTGCCACCACACTCAGCTAAGTTTTCTATTTTTGTAGAGATGGTGTCTCACTCTTGCTCAGGCTGGTCTCAAACTCCCAACCTCAAGCAATCCTCCTGCCCTGGACTCCCCAAATGCTAGGGTTTCAGGTGTGAGCCACCGCACCTGGCCTCCTGCTTTTTAATGCTCTCTTTTTAGTAACCTTGCAGATACATGAAGATAGTTACTGAGTCCATTCTTACCATTTTCTTTTACAAGTTTGAAAAAAAAAAAAACGAGAAGCTACTAGTTCCCACACTAAGTAATGGAAGTGCAGACTGTTCTGACCCTCCTAACAGAGCACTAAACTTTAACACTCTCCCCGAAGCCATATGGTTTATTTTACTCCAGATATGTACCCTTAAGAAAGCTCTGGGGTTCCGAAATTGGATGGAGTTCCTCCAAAAACTATGTTCGCCTGAGGATCAGATTTATCCAAGGCCTACTGAATATAACAGCCCTAGGTTGTTACTTGTATACAGGTGGGGCAGGATGAAAAGAACAGGTTAGAAAACCTAGAGTATCCTGAGAAAACTATATTCAGTTGTGAGGAAAAAGTCCTCTTGACAGCTAGGGCCAGTTCTGTAGTAGAACTTATACACACTCATCAGTTATGAAGGTTACTGCAAGAGATACTTGTTTTCAAGCTTTCCTTTTTAATTCATGTCCACAGTGTAACATTTTCTTTTTGTCTTTTTCCCCCTCCAGGGGTGCTACATCCATTGTGTACAGATGCAAACAGAAGAGGACCGAGAAGCCTTATGCTCTCAAAGTGTTAAAGAAAACAGTACGTTTATTTCATTGTATAATAAGCACCTTCAAGGGGCCTGTGACCTGGACAAGTCAGGAACTGACTCGAAGGACACAGGGGGCAGAGAGCCGCTGTGTGCGGCTGACTCACTTGACCCTCGGTGGTGAGAGTGTAGCCCAAATAGGTTGTTGTCTGATCGAAACTGTGTGGCTCTTTGAAAGCAACTGGACCTCAGACTGCGTGTTGTCGTGGGGAGGAGAAGTGTGGACAGGAATGACAGTTGGCGAGTACACCTAGCTTTGTGTATCGGTGATGTTCTTGGAGATACGTACATATGTATATATAAAATTTCAATATTTAAATATTAAAATCACATTTTGATAGGCTAGCAAAGCTTGATATTTAAAAGAGGTTGAAATGAAACACAAATATAATCGTGAGAGCAGTCATCAGCTTCCAATGCCTAGATTTTCAAATGTGAGGTTTGCTTCAGTAAAGTATAACTGGACAAATGCTAATGTCTCTGGGACTGAACCTGCTCGTCTAGAAGTTCGTATTTGGACAAAAAAGGAAGGATTTTGTTTTGGGGTTGCTTCTTTTGCCCCATAGCCCGTAGGTAATTTGAGGAGGCAAAAGTGGTTTAAGTTCATCCCTAATGGGTAAGAAGTGCATCAGGTGGGAGTTCAAAGTCTAAGTGCCACCACCTGTGTAATGCTGTCTGTGCCCCAGACAGTATTGTGTCATTAAATGTGTCATTAAATGCCCTACTTGCACGTTCTGTCCTTAGGTCGTTTCTGCTCATAAAACCACAAAAAGACAAGATATTCTTTCATAGCACATTCTTCCTTTTTCAAATTTTATGTGAACAAATATGTAAAATACATATACATTTTTAAAAACCCAGTTATAAAATGGTGAGAAGAATCATAAATTTTGAAGTCAAATGATACCATTTTGAGGCCAAGCAAGGAATTTTTTCCCCCTAAAGGCAGTTTAATATCTCTAGCTGTTTATGCATTATCTGGCCCAGGGAAATTTTAGAATCTCACGTAATGAAGAAGAGCATAATGGCACTGGGTTTTCAGCTGAGTGGAAATAGAATGACATTTTGAAGCAATGTGTTAGAATTTAAAGCGATAGCAAAATAACAAAGACAGTTTAATGGAAATAGGTAATAACTTAAATGGCAATTACCACTGATGAACTCTATTTTCTGAATTCTCTGGTGTAGGCAATAACTTAAGTTATTTGAGAATATAGAGGAACCTTTTGATTGATAAGGTTTGTAATTTTCCCTTAAACCAGTTTCTTATAGTCATAAATTTATCTGAACTAAGGATTATGCAAAATTTTATGAAATAGAATTTCCTATGAAATATTTACTTTTTTATGAAAATAAATTGGCCCACTTTCACAATAGTCACACACAAAATGTTTTAGGACTTGATTGTATCTTTTCTTGCGGGTAGAAAAAAAAAAGCAAGTGGTTATTTTTTGTTGTTGTTCATGGTTCAGGAAACTTTGAGAGGGACTAGATCTGTGAAAGTCTGGAAAATAAACGTTTAGAAATTACTTGTGAATGCTGAAAAATCCCAAAGGACAAAAGGCTGGTTTAGAGAATATTGGTTTCTGTCAAAAGTCTTTGGGTGAATTGGAGTAAGAGGTAGGTGAAGACAGCTGGTGGGCTCGTGACTCGTATTCATCGGGAAAGCACAGCTCTGGTTCGCCCTCCCTGCCTCCTCTTCCCACCTCTGCTGTGAAAACATCTTCCTCGGAAGACAGGCAGGAAGAGAACGGGGATGGGAACCGCGTGTCAGCTGGAGCGGCAGAGCGTACTGTAAGGCAGATGTTGTCAAACACAGTTACTGCTGTGCCAAATGGGATGAGAGAAAATGCCCTGGAGAAACCTCTGCTTTGAATGTGAAGTAGACGCAATGCTCAGTATTGTCTCCCAGGATAAACCACAGGCAGAGATGTGTAAATGAGAGCAGTAAGTAGCAGGGAAAGCCTCAAAGAGCGACTGCCCTCGGCGCTTAATTCTATATAGGTCATGGAGACTGAAACTTCCTTTAGCCACATGAAATGAATGAAGCCTAAGAATCTATTTATAGAGGGAAAGTGATGCAGAAAAAAATATTTTCTTAGATAATTCAGCCAAGGGTCTGCTCCTGAGGGCAAAAGGGGGTTTCAAAAAGATTGGGTCATTTATGTAATCATCTATTAGACTGAACCACATGAAATTGCCTTTATTAACCAGTTTGACCTACAAAAATGGCGATTCTATGTGGTTTCACCAACAAGTTTGGGATCACTGTAGTACTTGACTGGACAGTTCCTTAGGTCTTCATTTTATAACTAGACAGACCTAAGTCTGAGAGGCCTGAAACTTTATTTATCTACCTATCTTAGTTTCCTAGAGCTGGCCTAACAAACTGCCATAAGCTGGCGGCTTAAAACAACATATATTTATTCTCTCTCAGTTCTGGAGGCCAGAAATTCAAAATCAAAGTGCTGGTAGAATTAGTTCTTCGGAGAGCTCTGAGTGAGAATCTGTTGCATGCCTCTTTCCTCGCTTCTGCTGACAGCCAGGAATCCTTGGAGTTCCTTGATTCCGATATCATCACTCTAATCTCTGCCTCCAGTGTCACGTGGCCATTTTCTCTTTGTGGGTCTTCACATCATATACTGTGTGTGCATGTCTGTGTCCGAATTCTCTCTTCTTATAAGGTCACCAGTTTTGTTGGCTTAGAGACCTGCCCCACTCCATTATGACCTCATCTTAACTAATTGCATCTGCAACAATACAGTTTCCAAATAAAGTCACATTCTGAGGTCCTGGGAGTCAGGACAGTAACTCTTTTAAGAGGAGATGTAATTTGAGCCTAACATTATTTATAAGGGAGAACCTCTAAGGTGAATTTCAAAATATTTCATGCAATATTTTATCAGAATATGAGTAAAACATAGTATATTTAAGAAAGTTAATAAACTACGGAAATCCATTCAATTTAAATCTGTAGGTGATCAAATTAATATATAAACATTTTTAAATCCAAGAAAGGTTTCCTATTGTCTTTTGCAGTTAGTTTTTTGGTAACATTAATCCTCTTTCTTAGAGTCTGTTTAAACACTTTTTTTGTGGGAATTTACCCAAATTTCATTTTGTATCAATTTTAAGTTCCTTTCTTGTAGCTTAATATTTTAGGTAGGGTTTAGGTTACATTAGCAATAAGGCACTTGTTTCTAATAAGAAAGCATGATCATCATTTAGAATCCTTTAGGCATTCAAATGTCTGGATGATAGACGAATGCTCTGACTTATCTATAGGAATGAAGACTAAAGCGCTGGCTCTCATGGAGCAATTCATGTTTCATTGATGGCCAGATATATGACAGAGTCAATACTGATCATGAACATAAAGTAAATTGTCATATTTAGACAACTGGGTATTTTGGCTAGTAAACTGTCCATGTGGGAAATTAACATGTAATTATAATAAGAAAAATAGTTTTAAGTTAATCCATATTTTATATAAGGATGTAGCACCATGTACTTTATATATAGGCAATGATATTTCAGAGAATTAGAATACATTAAACTACTTATCAACCAGGGTCATAATGGCTTCAATTTACTTTCAAATGGCTAAACAATAACAAAAAAAAATTGTGTGTATGTGTGTTCATATATGGGGAGAGAGAGGGAAAGCAAATATAGCAAAAATCAACCATTTTAAAATGCAGGGAGGTATATTAGTATTCATGCTCGTATTTCAACCTTTCAGACATTATGAACATTTTCATCATGAAAAGTTTGGGGAAAAATATAATTCAACATTGAGATCCTGTTCAACATAATTGAACATTTCCTCTGGCTATTCAGAAAGCATTTCAACATCTTGCAGTCTCTTAATGTTATGATAAACATCAGTGACTCTCTATTATAAATGTATTGAAGTACCAGAAAGTGATAATTGAACCAACTTTTTATCATATCAAAAAAAACCTGGACATTTCCTGTAACAACATCATTTTTCTCATCGTGTCATTAATGGGGATCAGCTTTGACAGCAACAAGTCAGTAAACAAGAGAGGAAAATGTATTGAAGTGCTTTTTTGTTGGTTGTTTACCTCTTTGATTTTTTTCCCACTTAGCCGTTAGTGATCCTTGTACTAAGGAAGCCATCAAATCACTAGGTGTGGCATTCATCCTCGCCTCTTCGGTGGGGGTGGCCTAAGTGCAATTTTTGTTGTCAGTAAAGACCTCATTATCTTGTACATATTAGCTAGTTGGCTTGCATTTATCAGTGGAACTTTTACTATTAACTTTGAAAACCATGAGTCAAGGGTGAAGGAAACAAGGCCAACTTTTTTCCTTCATGCCTGAGCCCTTCGTCGTTCCATTTTCTGTGATGTTTAGAGGACATTAATGGAGAAGAGAAAGATTTTGCTAAGCTACTTTGGAGCATTAACGGATTCTGACAAACATGGCTAGTGGGACAGCCAAGGATTTGCAAGATGTAACCTTTTTATTGATGTTATATGCTGAACTTAAAACTGTAGGAAAGGAAAAAAAAAAAAAAAGAAACAGATTCGAGAAAGTGTCAAAATTTGAACAGATTAAGCACGTGGATCCTTCAGCCTGGACTGAATTTTGCTGAGTTAAATGGAATCCCAACTTTTGAAGAATGACACATGATGCTAATAGAGTCACTATTTCAGGAGTGATTCACACGAATTATACTTTATCTTTTTTCCTTCGGAGCACATACCTCAGTGTGTCTCTAAATGCTCACATTTCAGCCTATAAATTTGACTCATTTTCAAGAAGAATTGAGTGAGAGTCAAGAAATGTTTTTAACTTCCATTCATTTTTTTTTTACATTCTTACGAGTTAGCATAAGATAATAACTATCATGTTGCACGGGGATTTGAAAGGTTGTTTTATAGGTATTCTGACTCTCCTAAGAATGGCTGTGCAGTAGGGCGGTGATATCACAGGATCCAGAGCCAGACAGATTGAGTTGAGGATCACT